CAAATTTGATAACAACTGACAGCAGTATTTTAAGCACATGAGGCTGCATAAAATATCTTATATGCTGGTGTAAATGTGGCGATTTTAAGGAGGAATTGACGCCGACGGTCTGTCATTGTGCTTAAGCTGGGAACCTATGAGTTACCACAAGCTTTAAGAGAAAAAGCTGAGAAAACCACGCTTTTCGGGAGGTTTAGCATTAAGCCTAAGGTTTTGTTATGATCGACTAAGTAGACATTTCTTTGAAGGTGTGGTTGACGGAATGAATTCCTCGGCCATTCGCGTTCCTTTAGTGAGTTGTCTCTACAAAATTACAACTAAGCTACGATCCGAACCTACTTCGCCTCTTAACTGGAAACAAAATAGATAGGAATGAAATGATTTATAGAACTAAATTTTCTTCATATATAATAACATAATCTCCTGCACACGTTTACTTCTGTTGAACTAAACAAAATGAGATTTATTCCGCTAGTCTTGAAAGTGGAGAGAGGAAAGTTGAAAGAAGTTGTCTCAAAATCTTGTTCATCACTTGTGCTAAATTTGCCCAGCTGTATCGAACTTATGGAAAGAATATGCATGGTCAAGGTCACAACATTATTCTCAAGGTAAACCAAACGAGGCCGTGGGCGAAAAAATTTTAACTAACAATAAAAAAAAAAATGACAAGAATTTCACCCCACAACGGGTCCACTCATCTAGTACTTTCGAAACGCGTCTTTTAGTAGAAATCTGAAATGGTTCACTGATTCTACGAGAGGTGCTAAAGGACTGATATTTTTTTAACTCTAGAATAAATCAGTCAAAAATTATGAAAAATAACCTCGGTCTGTTAGGAATTAATAAAACGTATGATAAAAATCTGGTCAGAATTAAGTCCACATTTATTTGCTCTTCACGACATGTTTGGCTGTTGCCATAGCAAAGGTAGAACCAAAGAGGTTTCAAGAAATAATCAGGAAACAGTAAGTTGCATCAAACATGTTTTAACATGACATAAAAATGAAATCATAATTTCAGACAAAGGCACTGATCCTGCTTTGGCACTGCAATCTCAATTATTTGGTAAAGGCTGTCTTGCAAAAACAGCGAAAGTTGTTGTGAGTTATCTAACTTCACAGTTGATCCATCGTTATGACTCGATCACGAGCAAGTAAATAGATACGATACTTTCACCCCCTTTGAATTAAAATTACGCCATAGAAAACTAACCGATGACTGGGTGAATCGTTTACAAAACTCAAATTTGGCCATGTGAAATGGATTATTTTGGCTTTTTAAAACAGCCAAAACGTAACGCCGGAACGAGCACGTTAATTGAAAATAATCAACAAGATTAGTTGAAAATTTCACTATCAACGTCAAATCTACGTCACGATAGTTCGCCTCTCTAGATTTCTTTTTTTTTTTATTTTTCATTTCATTTTTGTACAGAAGCAATCAATCTTTCGTTTTGAATCCACGGAGATGAAAATGTCCTTAAGAGCACCTTTACTGATTTCAAACACGGAGGTATCACTGTTTATGACGAACAGACAACTCAAAAACTGGGTATATTATGCGTTTTCACTTTGTTTTTTCCACGCTTCCCTGATGTCCTTTGTTTCCTTAAAAAAAACACAATGCATGCTTCAAGTGTCTTGCTGGGTCTGATGACTCTATTCTGTGGCAAAACTTGCATATTCCAATGCGACATTATTCAAATCTCCCTGCAAAGGTTCAGTGACTACAAACTTTGAACACAACTAATCTATGATATAAGTTCTTTTTCTTTGAAATTTAGCGAAACTTTAGCGAACAGTCAGGCGCAGAGAAATGTTTGCGGTACAGATGAACAACAAGGCTTGTCTCTTTGTTATTTTGCTGCTCAGTATTTTAAGCGAAGGTACGTAAGTTAACTGTTTAATAAAATATTTAGAGCCGAATATGTTTAAAGAAAGGAAAAAAGGGCAAAATTAACTGTCTCGTGGATCTTCTTTCACAGACATGAAGTGATGATACATGTAAGCTTATTTTATATTCTGAGCAAACGTCCTTCGAGTACAGGAGTTAAATGCGCAGTTCACACGCAATTGATAGATGCGCCATTTTGAAATAATTCGTCCGTGCCAACGATTCTACGACTCTTCGCGCAAAGATTCTAAATTTTGCCGAAGGTTACTGACCTGATCCATTGACAAGAGATGAAAAACTGTTAAACCTGCATAAACAAACAAAGATATGTTTCAAGCACAAAAAATTAATTTAATAAATGACCTTCGTCGTTCATATCAAGCTGTCGTTTAGAAATTTCCTGTAGGTGTTTTCATTGTTTTGTTTTTCTACGAAAGGCTATGCAAATCTATGCAAACAATCGAACATCACTACTCCCAAATGTTCAACATGCGTGTTGCTCTTAAATTTACATTCCTTTAGGAGTTTTTTCCCGAAACCTTGCCGAAAATTAGAATCCAACAACAATGTTGCGAAACATTTGATTTGATAGAGAAATTACTGAAATTTAAAAGTCAAGACGAGATTGCAGGATTCCTACACAAGCTGCTTGATAACTTTTAAGGGAAATCACTAGTGTTAGAAACTCAAATGAGTTATATTTCAGTCATATGTCATGGTAATAGGACTGAGTGGAGTCCAACTCGGTCTGTAATCATACGAGTGATGACAAAAATCGAACGACCGCGCCGCTAGAGTCCAATTTGTTTATCACGAGTATGATTAAAGACCGAATTGGACGACTTATTACCATTTAATCATAAAGAATACAATTTCCGAGAAAAGAAGAATTGCCAAGTAATGAAAGAAAGGGAATATTTGAATTAAAGGACTGACAAAAGAGGCGTAAATGTACACTGTTTCTATGGTGATTGAACCAAGGTTGTGATTTGTTGATTTAAACTACAACTTTGAATTTGATTGGCCTATTGAACTTCCGCAAACAAACTGTTCAATGGTAACTTGGTAGGTGACTTAGAGGAAAATAGGAGCTTTTTTAGACCAATTACAATCGAGGAAATCGTAATTTTTATGATTAATACTAAAATACTGCATTGTGCTGCATTGTGCAATGAATCATGTCGACTCAAAATATATATAATTTTCTTTCAGGCGCAGCAGACTGCACCGATTCAATAATATGCTGTAACAAACTAAACGAAATACGTAAGTTTACCATTGCATCTAATTATATCGATTGCTCGGAGGCATATTTCCCACAAATTATTAACCGACTACCATACTCTGGTGGTCTTCCGTGTCTTTTAAAACACTTTACGGTGACCAATTTATGTTATCAACTCAGTTGACAATACTAAATTACCCTTCTATGTCAATACGCATGCTCAGAGTCTACTCAGTGCCATAGAAATTACACCAAGCTTTGCATGGTAGGTTTCAGGTCGATAGATAAATGAAGTAAACATGGTATTTGAAATCTCCTGTTTAAGAATAGGCCTACCATTTTGTTCATTATCTCAAACTGATAAATGAATGAAGTAGTGAAAAGGTAAGACAAAGAATTGCATGTCGTTACATGATTCAGTAAATTTTATATATGGCAGTATTTTTACATCACAAAAATGAAGGTTAGCTTAACGTACATATGCCATCTGCCTATTAATAAAGTCATTTACTCCCACTCTAAAAACATTTTGAAGGATAAAGTCATTTAACATTTCAGTCCAATCGAGGTTAGCTTAACTTACATGTGCCATTTACCTATTAATAAAGGTTTTGTAAACTTCCGCTCTAAGAAAAGTTTGGAGGATAAAATGATCCAACATTTCGGTTCACTAAAGGGAAATCATAGAGCAGTATAGGCTATTGTGGCTTTTGTGGCCGCTTTTTGCGAGCAACAATTAGCTCCTTAAGGCTTGTAAATTACGTACTGACCAAAGCAATACGTAACCCAGGCCAAATTCGTCAGGCAGCCTGGGAGTACATTCCGTGAAACGCAACTTTACAGCTACGTTGATGGGTTTAACGACCACACCTCCATTGACGCCGACGAACACAGGAAAAAACTTCGTGTAGAATTGCGAGGCACATGTAGCAGCTCCAGTGTACTATAACGTTTTGCAATTTGACATTGATAGTAAATTGAATGTTATTCTTCCCTTTCAGTGATCATTGCTGGTGTCATAGCAGTTTGCTTCTTCTTTTTTATCCAGTGCATTGTCATTGTATGTCTGGCTAGTAAGCTGAGCAAGGTCCAGAAAAGGTAACTAGTTTTCAATTAATAAAACATGTCAAAAGCTTAAACCTAAAAATTGTTTTTCCTGTTAAAAGAAGATGGTTGAACTCAGTCTGATCATATGTGAACATATAGAAATGTCATAGATTCCTGTGATTTATTGCCCCTGCTACCGCTTTTTGAGTATATTTAACATAATCTCAGTCACGTGAACATGACAGAAGACACTGTGGACCTCTGTGCCACACCGAATGTTATCCATTCATTGGTTTCAGGTTGATAAAAACTGTTACTCATTACACATTTTTCACACAGAGGATTCTCAGCCATGATCATCTGAGGTTTGCCTAACAAGGATCTTTTATCACCAACATATCACTTCTGCTTGTTTACATTTTCATTCAAGAGCGAGTAGTTCAAGTCATTTGGATGTTTCTTTTCAGGTTGGACGTAATGAGTTTGTCCAGAGGATCACATAAATTGGGCAGCTCTTACCCTGTAGTATCGTACCATGAGAATGCGCTGGAAGAAAAAGAGGAGCCGAATGGGGTAAAATGTCATACAGTATAGATGTTAAGGATCCAACATGTTGATCCCATTATCGCTTTAAATTCTACATCAAGTTAAACAGTTTCATTCTTAGCATGAGAGGGAAGATAAGGAACCATCAACCCCTTCCCCCTCCCCTCCCCCCTTTTCGTCCTTCAGTTCCTTCTCTCGTTACGATAACCGAGGCGACATCTTGTTCTTCAATTGCCGTAACCAAAAGAAAATAATATTATCTCTCGCTATTACTTCTTTCCTAAGGGATTAAGGGATTAGTCATTGTTTTTATCCAGTAGGGGGGGGGGGGGGGGGGGAGGGGGGAGGGGGGAAAGGGGGGGAAGCCAAGGATTTTGTGGACGGATCATATGGTTTTCAGAGGAAATGAAGGAGGGATCGGTCATCGCCCAAAATATAAAGAGAGAGGAGGGGGGAGGGGGGAGGGGCTGTAGGAAATTGATTGCAAATTAACTGCCAGTCAGGGGGATCATAAGAATACAGAGCCTTATGCGGGTATCAGGTAAATTTTATCCTGACTCAACCAAAATCTCGCCCCCCCCCCCCCACTTCCCCGACCATCCAACCCTTGGAGATGGGTGGGGCATCCCTTATACGAATACAGTCTGGTATCATATTATCCGAAATTTATTGTTAATAATGACTCATTACAGAATCCTCGCGCTCGTCGTATCTCTGGAGCCGTTCCATCCGTTGGTGGACCTATCAGAGCCAATCCAATTACCATTTTTGACAACCCACAAAGCAAAGACCAGGAGATTTGGTAAGTTTCCACAAAGTGAATCACGTTACACAGCGAAAAAACGAGAAGAAACGCTACTACATGTATTAATACTGAACAAAAACTACGAAGCCTTCTTATGTTACTAATTTAAAATATCAAGTTTAGAGCTGTTACCGAAATATCATGGGTAAAATAAATAATGCAGTAGTAATCATTGGAATGTCACGCATACTAGTCGCTAGTTATCGTTGTAAAAACTATATGCAACTCTTGTTGAACCCAATATCTTAAGGGCGAGGTCGATCTGACAAGACTAGCCTTTACGTCCATTTACCATTTCGCGGCCGAGCGATATTAAACAAACAAGCAAGATGTTTACAGATTCTTGAAAAGTTGTGTAAACTTAGGCCTAAGCCTAATCAGCAAAGGGTGGGGAATTCTCCATCATTTTCTTCTTAGTTATTAGGGAACAACTGATATTCAATAGATATTTAGATGGTGAAATGTTTAGCGACTACCAGAGCCTTCGTTTTGTGGATTTAACTTAAGTCTTTATGAGCCTCTTTTTAATGGATGTAAAAGGGTGAACCTTTCCTAACAGAGTAAATTACGAAGGAAAACAGCTCTTGAAGAGACAGCGAAAAAGTCTAAAAAAAATTACAGTCACCCAGTCACTATGCCATTTCGTTTCCAATAATAATAATAATAATAATATTCTACCATCTTTTATCTCTACAGGGGCTTGTACTAATTTAGGTGCTGGGCACCGGGAACCGATTCAGAATTTCCTAGGATTCTGGCATAGTTGTAGTTACAATAACTCCTGGGCGGTCATTTAAGCTTATCATAGATCAAGAAACATAATTTCTTGTTAATTTAGATTTTGAAGTAATAAAATATATTTTTATTTTTTTAGCTCGATGCATTTGCCCTTATCGAATAAACTGTAGCATCTCAGATAATTAGGAAAGCGTTTTCGTTTAGCTTTCGGCCTATTTTCGATTACACTAAGCACGTTCGTTCTTCGGTGGAAGCACTAAACACTTGTTTTGCTATACGATTTTAAAAAAACACTTTATCGTAGGTTAGCCGTCATCGCTTTTTTCTAACAGTTATAGGCTCTTTGCTGATATACACTGCAATGAAAAAATATCCGATCAAAATATAGATGATGTTACAAGGGCTCGCGGCAAACAGTTCTTTTTTTCTGATAGTAAATTGAATGTTATTCTTCCCTGGCTGGTACCGATATCAGCGTTGACGAGGAAGCTAAAAAATCAGTGATTGACACTATCGGTTCTAAAAGATAAAATTGATTGGAAACTCAGAGTGGCCATATGTTGTTATGTCATCATATAGGTATCGGTCAAACTACAGGTAGCCCTAGCTTGCAAAATAAGCCCCCGTAAATATGAAAATATCAGTCTATAAATAAAAGGCAAAACGGACCTAAGTCAATCTAGAAACTCACTCGATGCAAAGACCACTTAAGCTAGATAGCTTTGTATTTATTCAAAACTAGTTCAGCTTTTTTTGGTCGAAAACACGACTTTTTATTCTCATCTTCATATTTGGCCATTGCGCAAATTCACGGAGGCTCGTTTTGCAAGTATGGACTAGCTACCTGTAATCAAATATTTAAACTAGAGATCATTTAAAAACACATATTCCGCACAAGACGTTCACCTGATGGAACTACGAATGTGCTTAACTTCAGTTTTTCCTCTGCACAAAAGCAATGCATCTATATTAACACTGCTTTAAAAAATGTCGAGAAAAAAAGACGAATTCAACTTCGGCAATATTGCTTAAGGGTAAAAGCCCTATAAACACAAGGAATATCATGCAGATGAAGCCTATCACCCTAACGACGAGGATGTCTTCAGTGGTATGCTTACTACGCGCGGGGAAAATTTTACGTTTGAATAATGAGATATCCGAATGTCATAAACATTTATCATGATGTCGTGAGTTTCAAAGTGCGAGCAAGCGCAAGTGACAAGGATGAAACTGCAGAAATACTGTGGATGATCTAAAAAGCAACCCTCAATCTATTATGTCTCAAGAAAACACCAACTGTCTAAATTGTAACGAGCATGCAGGGAATCCGTTTATTTTAAGCCAAACGAGAGAGTCTCAGGTTGAACTGCAAACATTGTCGTTGACAACAAAATGGAGTATAATTCTGTGAATGTCAGGATTGTTTAATAAAGTAGGTCTTGAGCAATCTCACTTCCCAGCGTAGATTTTATAGTAACTGGATTTAAAAGAGTGCACAATCTCTACCACCTAAGACCAAGGACTACTTTGAGTTTATTTTCTCGGCGCCATTTTTATTTTGCGTAGCATGTACCTGGTGTTGTCTTTATGCGCATTTATCCACAATCCAGAATATCCTGTTTCGAGTAACAGGACATCTAACGGTCCGGGATTCTCGTAGAAAGAACAGTTTTTTAGATGAGCCTGCTGAGTATTTAATAGTCCTATAACAATATGGCCTGGTGGAAAGACAAGTTATTCGCCGTGAATTTCCAATCCAAGCTCGTTAGACTGGAGACAGTTGTGAATGATCAATTTTCACGTTTCTATTGTCCATTTTTTCAGCTATCGTTTCTTTAACCCTTGCGTCTGAACAGCATCCTACATCTTCTGAAGCGGTGCACAGATACTCATGACAGCAAGTGAAATAGCAGCACAGATAAACGCCACCCAAGCAGAATAAAGCTATTATCAGTACGCCGAATAACGCAAATTCTGTATCGTAGATTCCACTGTTATCTTCTTTGCCATGAACAAATCCATTCCCCATGATGGCAGCGAGGAGAACAACGGCCTCGACTTCTCTTATCCTCATTTTAACGGGAACAACGATCAGCACAATTTTTCTGTGTAAGATCTATGTAATTTTTAAACTGCACACCCAGAGGTCAAACGAGGATGGCGCTTCATTCTTCTCAAATGTCATCAAATCTTTCGCGGATGTCGCGCACGTGTACGTATTTGGTATTTTCGCCAATTTTAAATTTCGATCACTACTTTAACCCATTAAAAACTACTGAAAATTTCTTAGTCTTCTTCCTTGTCCTTTGTTTTGTTAAAAGTAACAAAAAATTGTTAAAAACCATGCTATTTTGCTCTTTAAAACCCCCGTGTAACATCAAACTTGATTACCAACGGCATTGTTGTTTTTTGTTTTTTTTTTTATTATTATTGTGTCGTTAACTGTTTATTTCACTCCTCTGATCCTCCAGCAGTAGAAAATCGTGCTTAGAGAGACCGACAACAAAAGGAGATTAGAAATCTCAATGGTTGATCGTGCACACCGCGCTTCTTCGACTAGAGAAGTTTTTCAAACTAAATTAGTCAAGCGATGGTTTCGTAGCTAAGGCCCCACGATCAATTAGGTACATTGAGTTATCTTTCTCAGCACGAATTGAAATCAGCGGGGTCCAAGATCTTGTCAGCATTAAATTTATCACAAGATCTAAGCTTCAAAGAAATTAGGCCTCCAATTGTCAACACACAAAGCATCGTTTGAATGTAATTTGTATGATTCAAACTTAATTTGGTCCGGGTGCACTACGCTGACAATATTCGTTTGGCTCCATCAAAAGTTTCGAAATAATTTGTCTTCGCCAAATTTCGTGAGGTATGCTCGAGTATGGATTCGTGGTCGAGTTGAACTTCGAGTTAGATTTCGAGTTGAACTTCGAATTACGTGCTGTGTTTTATTGAAATAGTTCGAAAAAATTGATTTGAATCTCGTTACCCGCGTTACACAGGTAAATTCTGACATAAATGAATAATTGAATGATAATTATATCCTTACGCGAAAAAAGAAACCGTCCATAGAGAAGCAGATGTTTTAACAGGGTGAATTTGACTGTGATGCGAAAAAGTAAAAGTTAGCAAGGAACGTAAATGAAAACTGAGGCGTTGGATAATCTCCTTTCTAACGCTTTTTAATACCGCGTCATGAGCAAAAATTTCCAAATAGCTAGGTGAATTCGAGGTAGCATTTTGTTTTTTCAATTTTTTTTTACGTGGTTGATTAGGTAATAAAATTGCTTACATATTCTGAGATGTAGAGCACGGATATAGGTTTTTATCAAAGCGTTGCACAATTTGTCACTGAGAGTGACATAATAGGAAATTGAATAGGAAATTGTCCATTTTTGCGGTTGTAACCTTGACTAGCAGGCAATCTAAAGAATCTGAATAAAAACAATAATTTTAATCACCTTTCTACATTTTGATTCTTTTTACAAGTCAAACTCAGAGACTTGCAAAGTACAAACACAAGGAGAGTAAGCTACAACGGAAAATCCTTCGAAACAAATGGATCTTTCGCAAGTTATAGTCACCAATAAACCATTTCGACTTTCATTATTCGTGCAAACCTTTTAAAACCTTAGAAATATTTGGTATCTGAGGAATGACACTTCCATGGCCAAACACTTGACAAAAATTAAAAGATAACGCGGGTATCCCTTCCATACATTTATTCACGCAACACATTCATTTTCAGAGAAATTTCACAAGTGTATTATTTCATTTCGCCAAAAAAAAAAAATGCAATCAAATTTTGTCATCTCCTCATTTCTTTCTACCAGAAAAGACCAAAGCTAACTCTCATGGAAAAGATGTAAATAAAGGCCGTACTATATTTTGCGATTTAAATCGTTGAACATACTAAATTGTAAATCGTGCAAAGATTGAATGAGGGGTCTGAGTTTTTCGGGAGTCCGAGGTTTAACTTTCCAAGATCTGAGGTTTCGTGACACTCTCTTCCAGGAGAAATAATTATTTCTTCAGCTCTTGATGTAAATTTCATTTTCCCGTTTAAAATAATTTCAAATCGAAGTTCCCATTGGAGTCTTACCCAAACTCGAACTCAAATTTAAACTCTATAGTTCGCGCTTCATTCGTGGTCGCATTGGAACATAGCAAAATAGTTGTTAACCACAAGCTGTCAGTCACATGGACGTGCATGAACCAGGCTGAAGATACTGCTGGAAACGTGAACTTGGCAGCCATTAAAGGTGTATTTTGAGTTCTGATTGTCAAGCGGCATCCCGAGATACGAATCTTCCATCTTCACCGTTTGAATGTCGCATAACAATTGTAAAATATTGTGACAGGTTTCAGCCTGCCTGAAAGTGAGATCAAATTCTCTTGATTGACGTTTACCCTCAAATAGTAGCTTGTAAATTGAAAAATCTGTCAGATTTCACGCCTGACATAAATTTTTCCAGCTCCGAGGCAGGACGACGGCGCCTTTGAAGTTTAGTAAACCTCGACCAATTTGGCAGAGTAAAAAAGTCTCTCTTGTTTTACGGAACTGATAAAAAATCTGGTTGTTTTTCGCAAAATAATTGTTTTTATTCGAGAAATCATACCTTCGCTGAACACTAAACTCTCGCCAAACTCTTCACCTGAAACTCAGTTATATAGCATTTGCCTCTGGGAATTGGACCCATAAGGACAGAGAACAATCTCTCTTTTGTTGAGTTACCTTGTCTGCTTTCGTTTCTCGTTTTCACATTTGACTTGGTATTGACGTGAAGAAACTTCGAAACGTTGGCAAATATTTTACGCAGAGCTTTTAAGTATACTATGAATTTTAATAAAGTTCTGCCTTTGTTTACTGAGTGTAAGTACCACATTCGAGAAAACAAACGGAAATTAAAGTTGAAGCTTACGGAGAATCATGATCAGTAACGAATGAAATGGAAGTTGACGATAATTTGCGTATTAATAAAAGGACCAAAATGAAGAGGGTTGGACTGACTGCTTTCTCTGAGGGGGATTATTTCATATCAATTAATTGTTCGTTTGCGATTGAATGGAAAGGAAGAAAGTTTATTAAAAACTCCACTTCTTTTCACTTTTTAAACCAGATGCTTAATAACCATTCTGATCAGGATCATTAGGCACCTTCCCTTTTACGGGTTAAGAGTGCTATACAATTCTTGTCAAAGGAACGACTAAAATAATGCTGGATGACCACTTGAGCAATAACTTAGTAAAAAGCCATCGCAAGAAGACGAACAGATGAGCTCAATGAAAGAAAATTAAAATGAAATACTTGAAACATGGTTCTATAGCCTTTTATGTTCCCACGAGGACTGTACACCGTAACTGAAAGACTGATTATTTTGAAGATGACTGCATTAATCAT